GATTCACAATATCTCAATAAATATCCCTTTATACTTTGCCAAATATGTTGTTATGATGGTACTCTTTAGGATGACCTTCTCAATAATTGCTCCAATAGATCAAATTGGGCACAGTAAGAGGATCATTTTAACCTATCATTTTCTGCATACTTATTTTGACTTAATGTTGTTTGATAATCTGGTATGGGTCGTATTTTGTGTACTTAATTTTTTCTGCTTTTCTGGATGTAAGTTGAAATGCTTAGTTTTACAAAACTTTTTTTAAGTTTTAAAAAAATGTTAAAAACATTATATATTAATATTTCATATTAATACATTTATTTCTAATATTGATACATTTACTTGGAATCTGTACTAGAATATCACTGTGCTATTCTTTAATGAAGTTGAAACTTTTATGTCTTTAGGTTTTCTGTAAATTCTTTTAAAAATACTCTCAAAGGATGACTGAAAATATGGGGTTTTTTTTGTATTCATCCATGAAAAGAATATGTTTCCTAAAAATACGTAAGGGTGGGATTATTCATTATACCCAGTAAAGTCTTTATAACACATGCAAAAAGTCCTTTTAAAATGGAAGATGATATATTCAGTGTAAATAATTTATTATAGTTGTTTGTGAGCAACATTTCTACAATGAGCATTAATTAAAATGTATCTGTTCACAAAGGATACGTTTTATGCAATTGTTTTTTTTAATGATAACAGCCATTTCAACACCTGAAACACAACATTGGAAAACAGGTCCAATGGAAAGCAAGCTTCTTTCAAGACATAAATAAAGCCTTTTACAAATAGCCATTTGGAACTTCACTCTTTGAAAAATCTCCTATAGTCCTTTTTCAGAGGCAAGTTAATGTGTGTTTGGGAAGGGCAATTAAATTGTCAGAATTTAAAAAAAAATGTTTTTAAGTAGAAAGTAGCCCAGAGAATAGTCATTGCACTGATATTGATTGTCTGAACAGAGAACATTAGTCTTAAGGTATTTACTCTGCCACCTCTATACCAGAGGCTCTCCTTCAAACCAAGTCAATTCCTTGAGGAGATGGCTACTGAAATACATAAATGGGACTGAAAGAGGACATAATTTTTGCTCTTTGGCCTTAATATAATATGCCTGATTGTTTCTGGACCTCTTCCACTTCTTCCAACAACAATATTTAATAAACTGCATTCCTGCAGGGAGGAACCATAGGAATAGTCCTATTCTGAACTAGCTACCATATCAAATATTCTATTGCAGAGGCTTGCAATTACAATTTATTTCCCTTCTATCTTTTTTCCTAAACAAAACAAAAATGAACTGAACATCTAGAACACAGCAGAAATTAACAAACATTACAATAGGTGTGAAAAAAACATTTATGAATATAATAAAGAGAATATTTCTTCCAGAAATCATATATAAACTATATACAATCTACAATTGTTAGAGCTGATGTATTTAGAATTAAACCAATAAACTGCATTGTAGAAAACAAATGAGTCTGAGTTGGCCTGAATCCAATTGCTTTGACCAAAAGGAATTGTAGAAAATTGTAGACTTAAAATAGACTATTCTGCAATTAAAGAAACCATAGACCAGAACAATAATTTCATTGGGAATTTGTGATTTACTGAAGGGTAGAAAGAGATTTGATGCTTCTTACAAAATTCTAATTCAGGTAGAACCTTGTAAACTATACATTTAAATTAATCTAGCCTTTGCCTTGGTTTACTTTTTTATAGTGTCACCATGCTATTCAAAGGCCAAATATACCTGTCATCCTGAAGTTAATGTATGCTTATATACTAGCTCAAATACAAATTACAAAGACTGTAGATTTTCATTTCAGTTTCCTTTCTATTTCTTATTTAGTTTTGCTACCTATAGACTATTTTCATTAGTAAGCATTAGACTGAATTAAGACTATATACATTGCTTCAGTGCCAAAAGCAAAAAAACCTGGTTCAAGCATGTGGAGGGTATAAGCAGAATATCTGTCCATAATTCAGCTGTGCCTTTTGCCAGTTTTGGAATTGTAGTAGGCAGCCACACAATCCTAAGAAAAGGTGCATTTGATTTAAGGAATAGGAGGCAGCTGTTTCATTGGAATCTCTGCACGCTCCAAAGCACCTTTTTCTCTTTGAATGTGAAGCAATCCACAGCCTTAATTTGTATTATAGAAGGAAGAGAGCTCTTGAACAGCACAGTAATGGGAACAGCTGAAAAAACATATTCGTGCACAATCACCTGGCATCTGTTCAGCTGTGGATACAGCACACAGAAATTGTTTTGTGAATCAATTTTAAGGCACTTTTACTTTGAGCAAGTATGTGATGCTTTAGTATGTGAGTATATATGTATGTGCTGAATGCAAGGACAGAGAGGTTTTACTTTTTAAAGGGTTAGAATATTTTACCAGTTAATCAGTTAAGGTATTTTCACAAACCTAACCTATCTAAAATCTATACAATAATTGTTATTTATTCCATCAAGTATTGTCTGCCATACTGTGTAAGGATGCATAATTATATAAATATATTGATGAAAATAGCTGGGAATTGTAACCAGGTCTACATCTCGGCCAAAATAAGGCGGGGGAGGGGGGAGTTTAAAAGCACAATGACTATATATGTATACTTTTCTCTCTCTTTTTTAAAAAAGGAGGAAGATATATTAAAATTAAATATGTATATTGAAAAGGAATTATAAACATCAACATAAAATAGAGCTCGTTCAAAAGCTGAAATATACCAAGTAAATGAGATGAAGAGTGTGAAGTAGAGAGGAGAGGTAAGGGAAGAAGAGAGGGATAGGAGAGAGAGCAGGGAGTGGGGAAGAGGATGAGAGAAAGGAGTGGAAAGGGGAGAGAGGAGAAGGAGAGAGGAGAGGGAAGTAGAGAAGTGTGACAGAGGGAAGAAAGGAGGTAGGGAAGTGGAAGAGAGAGGGAGAAGAAAGTGATGGATAAAGTACAAATATGGTGTATGGAGAGCAGAAGAGCCAATAATTGTTTTTGGGAGTTGATGGCAAGACGAAATGATGTAAACATTTAATAATACAATACAATGTTGGCTGGGTAATAGCATACATATGGTTATATGTTTTGAAAATGAAAAAATAAAAAACTTTATAAAAAAAGTATTGTCTGCCATATCAAATCAAACCATCTTAGAAATTATGCCTTTTCTGCATTAATGTCTTTTGTGGCATAAGCGCATATAATCTAGAAACAATAGACCCATGCTTCAATTGTATACACATTAATTCAATAAATCAGGTTTATTTCAGTGGTTTGCTATATTCTACTGGCAAGTACAGGATTGAAGTAGAATTAGAATTTAAAAAATATTTGAATTAAGAGTATTCTTTATCATCAAACTCAAAAAACTGTATTAATAGTGAGTATGGTATTTCAGAAGAAACGACAGTATTGTAGCACAAAAGCCTTCCCAAATAACATTCAATGAAATCACCTATATAATTAGCTCTGTAAATGTATTTTCATTTTTGTATTTTTGTATTTGCTTGACTTTTTCACAATAATTTCAGTGAAAAATGCATACCATACAGCCTATTAAAGTTCTGTATTATTACAACCATCACTCTGCATACATGCATGCATGCCCACACACACACACTCATACATAGACACACACATACACACACCCACACATATCACAAGTAGTACTGCTAGAGTATTCACCATGTGTGATTATACAATTAGTAATTAAATATTAGATTTAAAATTAAGCACAAATATGGTTTAAAACACCGTAATATCTTTCATGTAGTTAAATATGTTTTACACTATTGCATCATGATTTAAAACTTAATAAAATATATTTAAACATTAAAATATAATCATTAAGTTCTTATTATTATATTCTGATAAATACACAAAAATGAACTAATGTTCTACTTCATTCAGGGGTTAAATTCAGCAGGTTCTAACAGGTTCTGGAGAACCAATAGTGGAAATTTTGAGTAGGTTTGGAGAACCAGTAAATACCATATCTGGCTGGCCCCAGACTGGGGAGGCAATGGAGATTTTGCAGTATTCTTCCCCAGCCACGCCCACCAAGACATGCCCACAGAACTGGTAGTAAAAAAAAAATGAATTTCACCACTGACTTCAATACTGTACTTCTGAAAAACAATGCAAGTGATAATATCAAACTATACTAAATATAACTGTTAAGGACAATTTACACTCTTGAAATCTCTCTGCGTATAGTACAACAATGTATCAATCCCAAAGCAGAAAGGGCCTAATTAATTCTACCTGATTTTTCACTTCCTTTAGCAAAATATGAGGTGATCAACGCCATTATAGGTTAAGATTGTACTTATAGTTCTTCTCTATTTGATCATTATTTAAAATACTGTCATGTTTTTGGCATTATAGCTCTAACATATTGGAGACATTTTCTTTCAGAAATGACTCTTTAAGAATAAGTACAAGAGGTTAAGATGCTTGGCCCATGTTGTCTATCAGTCTGTCTACCTGCTTGACATCTATCTTATCTAGATATCTATTTATCTTCCTACAATTTACTTATATTTTGAGAAAAGCTTTCATTCTGGCTTGTATAATGCAGGAAAATTAAAATAGAGCTCCTGTGAATATCATTTGACTCATGCACAATTTTCATTTTAACCTCAAGTTAATTAAAATAATCAGTGGGGATTTCTCACAGGAAAATATATCTTGTTTATATTGCTACAACTTCATACATATAACAATTTGTCACAAAGCTTATTAAAACCTAAGGAAATAAGAGAATCTTAAACCTTTGTCTCAAATTTCTGGTATTCTAAACCCTCTACCCAAAGGATTTTTCCAAGGCAGATGCTGCTAAAAGATAATGACTAATTAGGTCTTGAAATGCTCAGGTCTGAAACGCAAGGAAGAGAACTCCAAATGTGACTGTTCCTGCTCTCTTAGAGCAATCAAGTTCTCTATCTTCATTGCCATATAGACCTGAGACTATTGACAGTGAGTAGATTTTACACTGACCGTGGTCTATGGCAGCTTTTAAGGTCGCTTCAGGATGTGTCGATCCAAGGGGGTTACGCACAAATCGTCGCCGGCGCCGCAAGTCATCTTCCCAGTAGTCAAGGCGCCAGAACTCACGAGGACGACTACAATGAAATAGAGAAGCCACATATGTTAGCAATTACCAAACAGCATGGTAGCACTGGATTTCTGCATAAAGCTTTCCTTGTTTGCTCTTTTCCTTTTCATTTTTTTAAAACAGCACCCTAAACCCTTTATACAATCTTTGTTAGATATGTCCTTGAAAATAACAGTATCACCTTCCAGTCTGAGAAACTCCTTTTCCTTTCTTTCTTAGAAGGTGAAATGAGCACTAAATACATCATTTTGAAATGAATTGCTGACAGTGTGATCAGTTTCCCCACACTCTAGTGGCATGTGCTCCGATTTCAGCCTCATTTCAGCCTCAGCAGGGCACCTTTCTCAGTGACTGCATTTATAAACCAGAATAGGGAAAAGCTATTATAAATATGGTATAGCATTACCTATATTAATCAAAGTCTGTCCCCCTTCATTTTTCTTCCTAATTTGTGCCTTTTTGTACAAGGTCACTAAATCTTATCATGAATTCTTGGTTGGGAAAGTGTTAACTTTAATGAATACTTCTGTTACATGATTATGTATGTGATAATAAAATATTACTCTATTTAGATCTGCAGGAATTTAATTAAAATAATCTCTTAAAATATTCATTACTTTTAGCCCCTGAGGCATAGGATGTAAAAAAAATCCTTTTTTGTTTCCTTTTCCTGTTTTTAAATAAACTATTCCAGTAGAGTGAAATAACAATTTATTCTCAAGCAAATCAGATTTGGTTTCTGTTTTTAGGTAGCTGGATTTTTGCATTTAATTAAGAACTTCATGTTATGGTGAGAATACTGAAAGAATACATCTCAAAATTTACGTTTATAAAAAGGTTCTACCACATTTGTTCTTTTCCACATTGTATTATTCAAATATGCATAGATCTTTTTAATATGGACATATATAAATGCCAGGTTCTATGTGGTTACATATCATGAGCAAGTGTGCTATAAAGCTGTACATTATATATTAAAAATGGCAATAGCAGCGAATTCAAGTATGTATTCATACCTAGAGATACAAATAAATATGTAAAATAAAAACCTGCAGAATAACACTGAGATATACTGCCAACATCTGCATTCCCCAATTACAAACTATATTATTTATAAAGAAATATCTATTGTCAGACGGTAAGCAAAAATTACTTTCTATATTATCATTTCTTTTTATGAGGTAATAATCATTGTATATATGTCAGCTTTGAAAAATAAATAGCTCGGCTTAATTTACTGATTACAAATGAATACAGACTCACAGTACCAGTAATTTTCTTATTTAATCTCCAGAAATAGTAAAAGTTTATTTTTTGAGAGTACATTAAAATCTATAAACTTCTCCTCTTGTAAGTGTAATTGTTAAAAATTCATGCTAAATAATACATCATATGAAACCTAATAATATACATGCAACAAAATTTTATTTTTTTATTTAAAAAACCCTCCCTTGTTATTTCCTTTTTCCTGACTGTAATTCTTATTATTCTGTAAACTATTTGCATTTCTAGTAAATGGAACACATACATTTTTACTATCTATCTATATTTATTTCAGAAATTTAAAAAGAAATCTTCAAGACTAGGTTGTAATTAATTTTGTAGGATTTATCAAGGGCAGGAATATGCATTAAAAACTAAAATTGTTCAAACTGTGATAAATAACTTAAAATTCACCACATCAAGTATGAAAAAAATGCAGATTACTACCGCCTGTGTGCATTTATTTGATAGTCATGAAATCTGAACAGATACTTCATCATTCTGCCTTTCTTTACTTATCTGTTAAAATTATTATCAAGTATCAACTTAGGAGTTTCAAATCACAAATCGTTCCTCATCTTCTGAAGAATTATATAATGGAGTCTATTAATCAGAATGGCAATCAGTATAAATAACTAGTTACCTAAACTGATTTTTTTTTGGATATATATTGTACTGAGAAGTATTGTATCTCGTACCACAAACATGATAATTAACCCCTAATATAGGCTTCTAAACATTTGTTAAAAGCTTCTGTCATAAATTCTAGTAAACTGTACTGCAATATTGTTCAAAGATTTTAAATTATTAAGGTCAAGCAGGCATCTTTCTCTACTTTTAATGAAATTAAATTATGTTTTTGGGAAAGTTAAAATTACTAAAATTATATATAATCATGAAGCGACATATTAAAGGAATATGGAAATACATAAAAGGCACTTGAAAAACATAGGTATACTTGATAGTTCTAGACATAGAGATAACAACAGAGATTCTGATGCCCCAAATACATAGTGTAGGGAATCAGGTAAACCTCCCAGACATAGGAAGTCAATTAAAAAGTTATTTCCTTAAAGAGGAGGTCCACTAAGAGACTCACTCCCAGAATAACAACCCCACAGTTATCCTCCATAAACATACTGTATATGCAAACAGCAGATCCTGGGTTGAACAAATAAACCTATGTAGTTACTTGTCATTACACTTTCATTTGTTCCATTCCTATGTTTACAAAATTCTAGCATTTTCATACTAGTTGGGAATTATCAGCTTGGCAAAGCACCACATTACCAGTTTCTTGTGGAATTGGTTGTTCTTAAAAGCAGAAAAGAAAAGACTGTGGCTATAATTTTACAAAAAAAGAAGTATTTATAAGCAAATAATGGTAATAATAATGCAATTTTCCTTTACACAAAAAATATGAATAGAACATCATTTATTTTGAGGCATAAAAATCCTCAAGAAGCAATCTAAGATTTTAGAAATTTAATGAGGAATAACCAGTGACCAAAACAAAGCTAATATTTCATGGAATGACATTGCTAAAATGAATTAGTGCTGCAATCCCTATTGCAAGATTAGTTTTAAAAGTAAACTAAAATTTATATATGTGAAATGTAATTCTGCAGAACAGAAAGTTCAGACCAGTAGCCTTAATAAACCACATGCTGTAATGAAAACAGAAGACCAGTCTGGAGTTCATTTCACAAGATGCCTGTTCAAAGAAAAACATCTCTTGTTTCCTGGGCTGGAGGTTAAACACATCATGCAGGTAAAATGTTTGCTTATGCCTGGTCATGAATGTGAGTTTTATACCATCAAGGAAAGTGCCTGATTGACACGTCTAGAAGTTGAAACTATCAATTATCCTCATAACAAATACACTTGTGATGAGCATGTAATGATGTTATCAATGTGTTATCCTTAGTTTGTTTAAAGACAATAAAATTAGTGTCATTAACAAGCATAAATGTTAGAGTAATAGACCTTATTGCTACGTGGGGTTATGGGCCAGTGATGGTCCACTAGAATTGTACTGCACAGAGAGCCAGGAAACGGCAGATAAATTATTCTCATGAATATGATGTCCTCAGATACTTTTCTTCAATTCTATTCTGTGACACCAGGAACAATAATTTCAGGTTATGCACCCTTTCCAGTTATATGACTGCAATTTGCAGTGTTTTCAGCATTGGTAAAAAGAAGCGCAGGCACTCAGAACTGAGTACCTAAAACAGCAAGCTGTTGAAGCAAAACTGGGAGGATGAAACTGTGCCCTTGAATACAGGGGTAAGGGCATTTAGAGAAGAGGAATTACTGAAAACAAATCATTAAAAAACTCAAAGCTAACAGTTGAGGAACTACCATATGACATTTCACAACTGGTGCTCATTTACAACCACTGCAGCATTCCAAAGTCACCATTTGTGTTTTTCACAACTGGCTTCTGACAAGCAGAGTTAATGGAGAATGCAAAACTAAAATCACAAGTTGCAGTCACATGATGTCTCATTTAACAACTGAATGAGAAATGACACCATAATTTCACCATGGACATATGATTTTCTACTTCAGGGGTGTCAAACTCACATCGTCTTGGGGGAGTCACATGACTTATCGGGACTTTCTTCCCCTTCAATAAACTGGGCATGGACATGGTCAGCACATGATGCATCTGGCCTGAGGCCGGGAGTTTGACAGCCCTGTTCTTCTTAATGATCACAGCACAACGATGGAGTTGCCAGTTCCTGTATTAAACTCATAAATATTATTTTAAAATGTCAATTTACTAATTTTTCTGCTAAAAATTATTAGATGTACAGTCTATTTTATTTCAGTTGATGTTAATGTCTGTAAAAGACCAACTAAATCTTACTTAAATAAATGACTATCCACTACATATTTAACAATAAAAGATTATTGTCCCGATTTTAAATAGAAAAATGAGTTCAAGTTCAAGGAATGCTTTACATCCAGTATAAAACTAGCTGAAATAATTTCTAGATATCAGGAACCTGAAATGCACAGATAGGGATGAACAATATTAACCAAACTTTCTCTCATTTTATTAAGGTGTCCATAAACAAAATGCTAGTTTCCTATCTTTATGTCATCTGACTGAAACTAGAATGTACAGAAAACCCTCAACTTTCCATTTTTCACTTTTAGAACCATTTCAACATCCCCATGGTTACATGATCAAAAGCTTGGCAACTGGTTCATATTTATCACATTTGCAGTGTCTCGGGCTCATGTGATCATCTTTTGAGACTTTCTGACAAGCAAAATCAATGGGAAAGCCAGATGCACTTAACAACCATGTGACTAACTTAACAACTGCAGTGATTCACTTAACAACTGTGCAAGAAAGGTGGTTAAAGTTAACAAATATTTTGCTTACCAACAAAAATTTTGGGCTCAATTGTGATCGTAAGTCGAGGACTACTTGTATTGCTTTTAATATGATGTAAACTAAATATATATAAATCATATACCATCAGTCATGGAAAATTTGGCAAACTTTTTATACATACACACATGTACATCTACACGTATGTATATACACAGACACAAACATATATAAGTAGTGTGTGTGTGTGTGTGTGTGTGTGTGTGTGTTGCAATATTTTTGGGAGGGCTTATTTTCGGGGGAGGGCTTATTTTAGTGCATGCGCTCAAAAGCCCGATTGGACTTATTATCTGGGGAGGTCTTATTTTCAGGGAAACGGGGTATTACTATTACTA